TATAATTTTTTATGAAATTTCTAAAAATCATTTCAACTAAGAAAATTTTTTTTGATTCATTATTTATATATCAGATAAATTCAAACTAAAGACTAAACTGCCTTAAGAATCTGTTATCAGAAAACTTAAGGCTAAATTGATAGTAACGTATAAGATTTCACACTGCGTTTCCAATATATATTCCAAAATTTTCTTTGATTTCTTGATAAATTGATAATAATAATCAAATAGGTTAAAGCATCGCTAGAGTAAAAGTCGTTGCAGACTTACCAATTGCAATAGTTTAAGCAAAGTTTGTACCACTTATTTCTAAAAAGTAATTACTGAAAAATGTATCGAATATAAAAAAATTTAATGTTTATTTCTTCGATGAAACTCTGCCAGTTCAGAATGGCGAAATTTTTATGCACATATACGACACGTTTTTCTGCATTTTCGTCTCAGTATTCCTGCGAATGGTTCCATATTGTAATGGCGTTGCATTTGTACAGAATTACGCATTATAATGCGTGCGTATCAACTAACATTTTTGGAAATCTTCCGATAAGGAAATCAGAATTGAAGAACAAAAAAGGGAATTCTACCGAATGAATTTCTAAATAATTCGACATAAAATGCACACTTCATATATGAACGACATGAGAGTAAAACACACTGAAGTATTCCAGCACCAATGCACCATTTTTAGTTCGCATGGCTCCATTCATTATATAAATTATTGTTGGATACATTATTCTGCGTTTTTTTACCGCTGATTTTTAGTTAGCATTGTGGTTGATAAGTTTTATCATTTCTGCATAAAAAAAAGTTCTTTTCGAGTTCTTTAATTTTAGCATTTATTATATATTCAATTTACAGTTACCAATTTCGAAAAAAGAAATTAGAATATATAAAAAAGATTGCAAGGTAAACACCTCACCACTGCTATATTTCACATTTCTGTAATGGTGGAAGCTGTTAGAAGCAGAAGAAGAAGAAGAAAAAAGGAACAAGGCTGACTAGAATCGCGCAAAATATTCACAGATTCCTTGTCCATAGAATTTTAAAGATAATAATATTTACAAATATCGTTATTAAATTTTATATAATATTATATAATATTAAATATATAAAATTACATAATTTTATATAATTTTATATATTTATTTAAATAATATTTACAAATATCGTTAAATTTTGAATTATAAAATTTTGCATTGCTTTAATCATAAAAAATTTGATAATAATTGTTTTTATTTCTAAATTTAATATTCATTAGCACCAAAAAATTTAAATTTGGTGGGGAATATTTAATTAATAATTGGATAAATTCACCAAAAAATTTTTTAAATTTCTGTACAAACTAGCAAAATAATTTTAGAATAATTTTATTTAAACAAATATGGAAAAATTAATAATGAATATAAGTTTAATGTGTTTATTTTTATGACAAAACTCTGCCTTATAAACAGGTCAGAGATTTTTATGTGCATACACGGCATGTTTTTCTGCACTGTTGTCTTAATGTACCGGTGAATGGTTCGATAGTGCAATAGCGTTGCATTTGTGCACAGTTTGCTCGATCGTCGGAACATGTCTGAACAGATGGTCCTCCAGTTGTAGCTGAATTTAAATGGATTCATTATATATAGGTTTAGCAACTGAGTATTTGCAAGAAAATTTCCAAATTTTAGATATTGAATATTGCATAGTTCATCGGAATTTGTGACAGCAGTGCTCACAACTCAGCCGCCAAAATTGGTAAAATTTTTATAAAATTTGTTAGTTAGACAAATGATAAAAGTAATGAAATAGAAGTAATAAGCGTTCTTAGAATAAAAGCTGCATTATAGTCAATGTATCCAAGAATTTGCAACTTACTATGGCTCATTATATCTAACGATAGTTTTATTAGTGGAAAAATTCATAAAAGTTTACATAAACAAGTTTTAATGTTGCACGTTCCCATGCACATCTGCTGAATATTTGTATCATTGCAGCCTGCGAGAGCCACTAGCACGGCACAATTAGGAGAAGTATCTGGGCAACGACCGCCTGCACCAGGCTGATTGCACAATCCGCAGTTTCGAGGGCACTTTGCTAATGCTACCGCCGAAATATTTGGATTCGTACAAAGTTGTGGCATCGTAAGGAATAGACTACAGCTTTGATCGTTCTCTGTAATATAATTGATAATTGCACTATTATTACTAGTAATTTTCACTCTGATTTCGATTTTTATTCGAATCTCCAAAGATTTACGAAATTACACGTACCATTCGTGCAATTATATTGTGGTGTCAAGCAACAGAACGCGCATGAACGAGGACATATTCTTATAGCTTCTGGCTTAAGGGTAGCATTTTGACAATTAGCGTTGACCTTATAATCCATTGTTCTGCAACGAGATTAATGAGCTTAACAAATATTAAACAATTAAGATGAAAAAGGTAAGAAGTCAGTGTACTTACGGATTTGCATTATTTTGCAGATCTTGTGGAGTTGTAAGATCAAAAAGTGCCGCACAAAAAGCATCGTTATTATTGCTGCAGGCATGAGCAAGTGGCGATGGACGTTTCACCTTGGCACCTCCTTGACCTGGAGCCTCCAGATAAATCCTTTGCATGAAGCTGAAGAATATTAGCACAACATACATTATTCAATGAAAGTGCTTATCCTCTACTCGGCATATTTATTTGCTCTTTATCAGTTCACTGCAGAAGGTATAGTTGATTCAGCTGCAAATCGTCAAATCGCTATTCTTATTTTTTTCAGTTATGGAATATTTAGAAACGAAAAAACTCCACTAATATTTCTTTCAAATACGTTCAACAAAAAAAAATTTTACCTTTTCATTCCAAAATAAATTTTGTTCTTCCACATTTTTTTTTCACTATCCTATTTTTTTATAAAATTTGTAAGTTTTTGCATGAAATAGGACAATTATTCATGCAAACCATTGCATTGTAAAACATTCATATTTCCCATAAGTTTATTATAATTTTCAAGTATATTTTTTATTATTTTCTCAATACTTTTTACCACTATAGGGTGGTGATAAGACTTGTTAATTCGCATTTTTTTATCGCTATAGGGTGGTAATAAGACTTGTTAATTTTTTTATCACCTATAGGGTGGTGATAAGAGTTGTTAATAAATTTCTCAGAACTTATCGTAAATCTTAGCGATCAAATCTTATCGTCGAAAGCTTATATATATATATAAGCTTTATATAATTGGTAGCGATTATTAAATATTTTATTGAAAAAATTTCTTGTTAATTATTTGACTTATTTTCACTTATTTTCCATTCATTTTTTATTGCTTTCATAATTTTCTTGTTTTCTGAATTTTAAATAAATAACTTTTTTATCAGATTTTAAAAAGTTCATTGGTTTGATTTTTAAGAATTACTTTGAATTAATAAAAAATTTTTTTTATCATTTATTATTCAATCACTTTTATTTTAAATCAGTTAAATTATTTAACAAAATTTTAATTTAAATTTTAACTTTATTTTTGACTTTAATTACAGTGATTTTATAATTACAGTGATTTACAGTAAATTTTTTATAAGCGATCGCAATTTGTTCTGAAAAAAGAAAAGAATGCGATTTTTTAGTGGAAAATGGAAAAAGACTTCGATTACAAAAATATGCATTTGGTGTTTATTTATTCAACATTTTTTGTGGCTTATATTTAACCAATTTGTCGATATGCAAGCAATTTGGGAAATTAATAAAAACAGCCGAAAAATCTTTTGGGAAGTTGTTGTCAGTCGAAGGGAAGTAGAAATCTTCAAGTGTATCGAATGGAGTGGAACCTCGATTACAGTAAAAACTGTTACAAGCCTTTTATCTTAAATTTTTCTTCGAGCATTGCTCTTTTAATAACGACTATACAATCTTTAAATTTCGTTAAATCAAAAAGCTAATCTCTCTAAAGTTCCAAATATCAGAGACCATCGGAATTTCAATTATGATACCAGCAAATCTCATTAGTTGATCACTACTTTACAAGGTTATCTGGAAGCGCAGTTGGAATGTTCCATCGAAATCGAACTTGCCTGCATTGTTGTAAAATCGTTCGACCAATATATTGCTGAGAAAAGTGTTGGCAGAATCTTAAAGAATAACTGGTATTTATGAGGGTCGAGGTTATTCGGGCGCGAAATACCCGTATGTAATGAAAATGTGGGAAATTGTCCTTCTTTTTTATACCCTTTTTGAAATATCGGGTAACCCTGGTTTTCCTATGATGCATAATTGGATCGCTTCACACGACATCCGAATACCGTACTCCCCGAGTGGCGTGCGGCAGCGCATATTTGATTAGAACCAGTCATCTTTTCCAGAGTACAGTATCCTTGACATTTTTATCGTTTATCATTTATCATTTATTTTTAGGCACATTTACAATTTGCTTGCTGCTTCAGAATTTTTTCACTTGATATTTAATCTTAATATTATTTAATCCATGAAAATTGCAGGTTTATTTCGCATATAAATTGAATTTTGCTTTTTTGCTAATTTTGCTTTTGCTGAATTTTGCTGAAAAAAGATTTTCCAGTCCAGCAAATTAGGGTGAAGATTGTGCCAATCATCAATAGAATGATTTTGGCATTAACTTTCCGCATCTCCTCCAGTCTCTCATTCACGCCTCGGATATTTGCATATATATAAAACTTTAGATCCCTTAATGAAATTATATTTTTCATTAACCTATCATTGACCCAATTGAGGATTTTCATAATGAATATCATTTATCTAATTTTTTTACTGTTTTTTACTTAAGAATTGTATGCCAGCCCCTTGGGAAGCCTTATTTTTATTTAATTTAAGTTTTAACTATTTTTATTTAAGTAATAAAATAGCGAAAAAAATACAACTAGTTGGGCCGAGTTGGACCTTCTAAATAAGTTCCAACAAGCACGGTTTATTCAACTTTCTGATTATATATTCGATATTCCTAATATATTGTCAGCCTAATTTAGTCAACTTATGTTCATCTGAATGTATATATCTGAATACAAAAAGGCATAAATCGGTTACCATAGCCACCAATACCTTTTACCTATTACAGCTTTCTACTTATATGCGAATTGCTAATGCTGGCGAATAATCGTGAAAAACTGCATTAAGTAATAAAAAATGTGTGAGATGTTGTCAAATGTACTCTCGGCAAGCGTCGTATTGCAGTATTCCTTCGTGCTTTCTTTTTTTTTCAAAAATTTTTTCAAATTCGGTTACATTGTACTGTGTGCTATTCGTCCATGGATCCATGAAGTTTTCTACAAACAATACGATAATCGTTTCCGCTTAACACTTCGATCGTCGCGAATATATCGAAAGAAGTCCTCTGAATTCAAATCTATCATAGAATTTACAGTTATCAATTCCGGAATTTTTATAAAAAATTAGAATGGAATTACAAAAAAATTACAAGAAAACATCTCACTGTCACATTTTATATTTTATAGTTCAATTTATCCATTTTTAAAACGTATTTAAATAATAAACAACCTGAAAATAAAAAAAAAACATTTTCTAAAAGAAGGCTCTCTAAATTGATAAAAATTGATGAATTGATGAATTGATAAAATTTTAGTTCTCAATTTTTTTTTTTTTATTTTTAGTTGTTATAAAAAGAATATTTGGTCAGATGAGATAAACAAAAAAGAAAAAATATAATTTAAACAATAAAGCTATAAATCAATAAAAGAATACATAGATTTGTTGATTTTACGCTTTTAAAAAATTTAAAATATTACAAATTAGAAAAAAGAAATCATTTAAGAAATCATATCGGATTGACGTGGTGTGACGAAAATCACGTTAATTTCCCGCAATAGCATAAGGTTGCCTGCGAAAAGTAAGAAAAAATATCGCTTTTATTGAGAAATAACTGATAAGAAAAATGGCCTTCTCCTCCATTTTTAACTAAAAAATCCCTCCATTATATTGTTAAAAAATTTGATAATCATTAATTTAACATAAAGAATTGAATTCATCTTTATGAACAACTTTCCCATTGATTCATTGGTGAGTTTGAACACTGCCTTTCTGAATATATCAATGAGTGGTATTTTGAACAATTTTATTTACACAAATAAAAAACATCGATGACAATAGAAACGGACTCTATTAATAATATTAATGCCTAAGGTGTTTTTCAAATTCATTTCACATTCACTAACAAATGGATGGAGAAGTTTAGAGAAAATAGCGTTATTTGTTCAAATTAATAATTATTAAATTCCCTTTAAATTAATTTTCTTTAAATAAATTAATAATTATATGCAATGTCATAGTCAATGTTAAGTCGATAAGCCGAAATGATTTCATTTTTATCATTTGTAGCATCTTAAATTTTTTTGAGGATCGTAAAATCATTTGTATTGGACATCTCATATGATCGAATAATCCTTTCATAAGAACTGAAAAAAAACAAAAAAATCAAGGATTACAATTTTATCAGTTGCTATCAATTTAACCGGTTTGGTGTGAAAATATTATATAAAATGAAATCATTTAGATTATTGTAAAATTTTCCTTATTTTCAGGTTTTTTATTAGAAGAAAATAGATTAAACAAAAAAACAATAAAATAAAAAAAGTGGTGAGATGCTTTTCTTGTAATTTTTTTTATATGTTCTAATTTTATTTTAAAAAATTTTAAAAAAATTTTAAAATCAGCTTTATCCCTGAAATTACTTTGACCTTCCCTTTCCACGCCTTCTCCAATTTCTCTCTCAGCCTTTGGCATTTGCATTAAATATATATAAATAAATAAAAATTTAGATCACTAAATAAAATTATACTTTTTATTAGCCTATTATTAACCCAATTGAAGGATATCAAACATTTTTGGAAAATTTCAATAATTCAAAAAAAATTTGATGGACCCCCACAATGTGCAATGGAGAACTGCACGCAGTTGCACTTCGGAAATGCCCAGAAACTTGCGGATTTTGTAATTAACCTGGGAAGATCTCGTCGATATCTGTTTTTTAATATAAATAAGAAACTGCACTGATTCGCTAAAGCAGCAAAGTTACCAACGCACATGCAATCGTCAGGGAGTTATCTAATATCTATTTTCAGGCAATGAATATTTTTGGGAATTTTTGCAAAATGAACAATTTAACAATTTATATAAAGCAATAATCATTAAAATTAATATTGGAATGGCTCAGTGGGTTGTTGTTCAATTTGGAGCGCCAATGCTGAGATTCTATTCTCCTCAGGAATAAACTTGTCCAAAAATTCGGGTGATGCTGGCGACTCACCGGTACTTCTATCGCCAAGGGATTCCCTGGCATATTTGTCTAATGCGATAAGCCAGTGAAGCGAGTTTAACCAGTAATAGTGAGGACTCTTAAAAAAAAAAAAACCATTATAATTAATAATAACCATTTCATCACCAAGAAGTCGTGTGGACAGACCGAATTGTGCGCAATTGGCTCACCTATGTGATAGTTCGCCATACTCGACAACTCTGAAACAGCGATCATTTGTCGTCCAACATTTTTGGAAGACTTCACATTCGGTTTCGGTTTCATAAGATTGTAAAAGAATTGTGAGATTAAAAAATTATTGCCACTTTGCCTTCTTTTTTTAATACAAAG